GATAACACATTTTGACGAGATGTCAATCATTCAAATTGAAAAATACTGTTGATGAAAATACAAGTTTGCATATTTTGATTAGTTTAATATTTAACGTTTTTGAAAATTTGGTTTCATTTCTAAAATCGGATGCCATTTTAAGGCATCTGATGAATCTGATGAATGATTCATTTCATGATAAAAAGGGTCAGTTGTCAATAGTGTTGCAATGCACAAAGCACCGCTCACACAGAAGTCAATTTCAGACCAAGCCGTTGTCTGTCGGTCAACGTGGCAAAATCGCGGAAAGAATTCGTTGTGAAATCTCGGGCATTTCAGAAAGCGCGCGGGCAACTAATTGATTCCTCTTTTGCATCTCCTTGCACTTGAAAGGACACAAACACACAAAATGATGTTAAAATACCCGTCTAGGCATGTATTCTCGTAAACACAGAGCGTAAGAGGGCTGATCCAGTGGATTCGATGTTTGGATGTCATGGAGGCCCGAAGGACACCAATTGCTCACCTTGTGTGTGTGGCCTTGGGCTTAACAGCACATTTACCTGATAACTGATTCTGTTTTAAACTTTATTTTATTTTTTTAAAACAGGCTTCATAAAGGATGAAACTGTAGTATCACGACAAGAGCTGCCACACTGGCCTGAACACAAAAGTTTATACAAATATATTTTGAATGAATTCAAATATAACATTTCTCATTTTAAATGTATGATTTTTTTACATGCATTTATTTTAATACAATTGGAAATTTCGCGCGACACAGATTTCACAACTCAATTTTTAAGTACAATCAACTTGGATGTTTAAGTCATTTGAACTTAAATTACATTAAACTGGCTTAAAGAATGAGTTGAATCTTGTATACTGTGACTTGTAAAACAGTTGAAAATTGCTTAACTTATTTTGAGGATTTAAAGCAATGTAAAAACATATGTTGTCAACTTATTGATCATATAACTTTTTACTCAGTTATATCCGAAAGAAATCAGATGTGTATCATTATATTGGATCCCTGCGTTAGGTCTTAAAGTGACAGCAGCCTATAAATTCCTCCTGCTGTCCATCAGTAATGTAAATCAAACAACAAAACACAGCTTACAAAAGAACAAATATGATCTATATTAAATTTATAGAGTGAACACTGTAGTGTTATTTTACATTTAGGCCCAATTATTACATTTCTGTACCTAAATACTACAGTTACACCGTGTAACTGTAGTATTTAGGTACAGAAATGTTACACCTTACTTTGTTTAACTTTGTTATATTGTATTTATCTATAATATTTCTTGCTGATCTGAAAAATGATCTGATCTGTGACTCAAAAACCATAATATGACCCAAATTGTGAGTTTTGTGATCCGTTGAGCCACTAGTGAAATCTACAAAATAACTGTGTAAAGATTAACACTGTTCAATGCCCAATGTCTTTAAGGGATAGTTCACCCCAAAATCATCCTCATGTCATTCCAAACCTGGGTGACTTTTGAAGAATATCTCATCAGTTATTATCCTTACAATGAAACTCAATGGGGTCCAAATCGACAACATTGAACCCCACTTGACTGTATGGACAAAAAAACAAAAACTACTACTTTGGTGTTTTGCGGAAGAAAGAAAGACGGGTTTAGAAAGACATGAGGGTGAATATGATAAAAAAAATATTTTTCGGGGAACGTCTATTCATGAGTTCCACCATTTGACCTAAAATTGTTCCTACAATGCTGGTTGAGTGCTTGAGTTGACGTTACGTGTCATCATTTTTCAGTAACTACCACCATTTTAATATGGCATTTAAAGATAGCTAGTAAAATGTTAGTAAGATGTTTATTGTGGGCGAGACAATCGTAGATGTGTCTCCATCTGAAATGTTGGCATTCGACTCAGAAGTGGCCTCTACGATCGTCTCTACCCCCCCTTAAACTCCACAAGAACATCTTTCACCCTTCAGCGCCTTTCCTGCTATTGAGGAAATCAATGTCTTGGTCGTAATTATTTAACCATTGATAAAGCCTTCAGCTCCTGCTAGAGCCCAAGCACCTATTCAACACATGGAGACTGACAGCGGGAAAGATAGAGACGCTTCGTCTGCCGGAAAAGCGTGAGAAGTGATCGGCTGACTGCAATCGGTCCTCTCGACGAGCCGGCGAAATCGAGGAGACAAGTGACTGCTCCCGGGTCAACTCATGTCTCTCCTCCTCTTTATTGACACTTAGCTTTACAAAGAGCCCCCTGGGCTGTCCCGACAGTGACAAATTGCGATGGTTTGGCCATGCTGAGTGTGAACAGACACTAACTTAGAGCAGTGGGGAGTGGAACGGCGTGAGTAAATGCGATTTTGATTTCCGTTAACAGGCTTCATTTGTAAATGCAATACAGAGACACTACGTTTAAAGAGTGTAAAAGGGCTGATCCAGTGGATTTGATGTTTTGATGTCATGGAGGCCAGAAGAACTACAATTGCTCACCTTGTGTGTGTGGCCTTGGGCTTAACAGCACATTTACCTGATAACTGATTCTGTTTTAAGCTTTATTTTATTTTTTTAAAACAGGCTTCATAAAGGATGAAACTGTAGTATCACGACAAGAGCTGCCACACTGGCCTGAACACAAAAGTTTATACCAATATATTTTGAATGAATTTAAATATAACATTTCTCATTTTAAATGTATGATTTTTTTACATGCATTTATTTTATTACAATTGAAAATTTCGCACCAGGGCAAAATATCTCCCCCGCAGATTTCACAACTCAATTTTTAAGTACAATCAACTTAGATAATTAAGTCATTTGAACTTAAATTACATTAAACTGGCTTAAAGAATTAGTTGAATCTTGTATACTGTGACTTGTAAAAGAGTTGAAAATTGCTTAACTTATTTTGAGGATTTAAAGCAATGTAAAAACATATGTTGTCAACTTATTGATCATATAACTTTTTACAGTGTATGTTTAACAAGGAACATTGTAGAAACATTGAAGGAATGTGTTTGGACACCTTGATGACGTACGTTTACTAGATATGGTGCAAAAATCCACATTTTCCACAGTGGAAACATGCTTATAAAGGGTTGACGAGTGAGCAGTGGGCTGAGACGGAGAGAAGATAAGTTCCCATAATTCCAGTAGTTTTCATAAGGCACCATGGGGATTTTCATGCTTCATTTAATTAACCTCTGACTGGCTTCTCAATAGCAACTGGCAAAGTGTTTTTTTCATCCATGCACTTGTCTGTACATAGAGCCCCCCGCCGCACCACCCCTCACCCAGAGGATACTATTAATCGGAGCCATCTTTGATCTCTAGGCTTAGTTCTTAGTCTTTTAGTCTCCCAGGGCCTGGCACACAGCATGGGTGGGGCTAGCTGCTAGCACGGGGCAGTGCCTGGGGCGATACACTCCCCTCAGGTGAGAGTTTTATTATGGATGATGTTTCCGACAAATTATTTACACCAACACTCCAGATTCCCCCCAAACCACAACCACAAAACCTCAGCTACGCTAACCTGCAGATCAACATAAACACAGCAAGGCTGAGAGGTCTGGAGTTTGATGTGTCCTCAGTGCTGCTCTTTGGTCTGGGTGAGATGTGAGGAATCTTCTCTAGGTGTGGCGGGGGAGCTGGCGTGGATGCTTACGCCTGGCTTCATGGTTTCAGGTAGTTCAGGGATTCAGCAAACGGAGCAGCTAGAGTTCAAAGTACACACGCTACCCTCTGCTCATCGTATTCTCTTTTCTGGAACCACAGGATGGTACAGTCGCGACTGATATGATGATGTTGAAGCGGATGTATTAATATTCCATGTTCTTACGGGGCCAAACAGACACCCTGTTCTGTTTTTTCATGTTGGTCTTTCATGGTGTAGACCTGTGTCTTTTGTGAATTGGCTGCAAGAGTTGCCTTGACCTGTAAGCCGTGGAACCTCCGATCGCTTCAATGTAAAGCTAGCAGGCTAACAGAAGCGAAGCTTTGAAGGTTACTGACAGTTTTAAAAGCAAAACTGGATGCACTCAGCATCCACAACTTTGGAGGAAATGACCTCCTGATTTTCTTAACTCCAATAAAGCGGCCTTGGTTTTGTAAGTTGTAACTAGAATTCGTGTAGCACTTACAGTAAGTGCAGCAAGCGAATGGTATCTATCATCTGATTTTGATTTAAATCAGATATTTCTTTAATTTAATAATTAATAATAATAATTCATTCACCCAAAAATGTAAATTCTGTCATGATTCAAACATGGCAGGTTAAGACAACTAACGTCAAACATCATTTATTGTAATTAGCCAGGTTTTTATTTACATATTTTATGCAAGTTTTAGGATATTGCATAAATATTGCAGGATGAAAATCAAATTTCCAAAATGCAAATACAAAATGGTAATTGTTTTATGCACAAAGTATGCTGGAAACACACTGTACGAATATATTCACTGAAAAAAAATAATCAAAAACTCATCCCAAAAATTGGATTTAGGAAATTCCAAAAATGTAGATTTTTTTTTTTTTTTTTTTTGCCCTCTAAACCCCAGTTTATTCAATTTAATTTCAATTTTGGCCCAATTTTCCATCAACATTTTTCTTTTGAATACATTGACACAAGGCTTTATTTGTAGAGTGTTTCAGCAATATACTGATTTTTTTTGTGCAAAAATTGAATCTGCAACTTAGATGAAAGCATAACTAGTGACGTATTGTATAAAGAGTGACGTAATGTATTGATGAGCGAATAAGATTTCTGAGCTACACGATTTTCAGAGAATAACAGTTTTAGACAGACCTGATTAGTCTGGCATCAATGGTAAAGCAAAGTCGGCTGGATAGGGTATGAGATGGTGGCATTCATAATGATGGTCTTATCATACAAGAGGAAGCGGTCTTGTGGCTTATCTCAAGGTCCCTCAAGAACCTTGGAAGCAAGCAAGCAAGTGAGATTTGGAGAATGCACAGAGGCCGTAGCCCGCTTCCCTCCACCCCTCCATCCCTTTCTCTTTACTCACCCAAGCTGAACAGCACCAGGAACTTGAGGCAGACGAACTCCCTCTGGTCCAGCTGGAGGGATCGCAGTTTGCTCACCATCTCCTGCGCGTGACTCAGGAGGTTGTTGAGTGTGGCACCGGCTTGGGAGGCAATTAGGGCGTAATCCACCTAAAGAGAAGGGGCAACAGTGTTCACACACACAAACAATAGAGGTTTGACCACAAGCAACGTGGCAGATCTCTGAAGGGTTAAAACATCTCAGGTACAGACACTACAATTAATATAATTGCAAATAATAATTTGAAGATGGACCCTTTTCACATTACCAGGGTTCTCAGAAGCAAAAGTCGGGTGAACTTATATAGTGGTGAACGGAAACCCAAACAAATAGGATTTTTCCGTTCCACGCCACTACTGTTTCAATCACTCTCCAAATAAAGAAAAAAAACCCGAAAGATTGATTACGGTAATCAAATTTTCCTTCATTCCCTCAGCTGTTGTATTAGAAACACTGTTGCTGTCATTTAATGCCAAGTTAGAAACGTACGTCATCATTGTGACATTAAAAGAAAGATTGTTTTCCAACAGGTTTTTAGAACACGCTTCCTGTCTACCATTGTTTGGACAAACAGACAGCCTCGCCCCAAGAGCATGCCAATTTGAGGCAATTATTGAATTACTTATTTAGAACTTTAGGGAAATGGATCATAAATGGAAGTGCTATCAATTCCTAAATTTATTTTTGAGAAGATGTGCTCATAGTTGTTTGGAGACTCACATATTTTATGACAAAAAAAGAGTTGTTGGGAATGTTTTAGGAAGAGTTTCAGCCTTGTTCATCAAAAATTAAATTTCTATTTCTATTCTAGTCCTTTTAGTTTAAAAGTTCAAGCAAACTGGAGCCAGACGGCACTTGGCACCACCTTGCAAGTCTGAGTTTTTTAGCGCCGGCTGAGGTAAGCATGTAACCAGCTCTGGCAGCTCTACGTTTCATACGCCTCTTTCTTTCCTTCCCAGGCTCCTCTCCACACAGCAGGGACAGTGCGCTGGGCCGAGGTCTGAATGATAATCAGCATCAAACCGAACGGGGAAGAGCTGCACGTTTCTCCATCCCTGGTGCCCAGACCCTCGGACCTCAGCGCCCCGCACCAGACGAGGGCGGTGGGGGTTGGCGAGGCGTGAGTGAGCGGGGGGCCCCTGGAGGTCCCTCAGGCTACCGGGCCGAACCCTGCGCGGGACCCCCGTGGCCCTCTCCTCCCCTTTCAGGTGCACTTAATATCTGCAGCAGCAGCAAATTTGTCTTGGAGGCAAGTCCTTAGCTGCCACTCACTGTAAGCAGGCCATATTAAATTTTTATATTTATTGACAATTCATTACCATAATTGACTGCGCCAGGGTTTCTGGAAGAAGGTAGACTACGGGCCTCCTAAGCGTAAGGAGAGCTCCCTCTGAGCTGGATTTGCAATTAAAAACGCGGGCGGTTTGGAATTTATTTATTGTGTAAATATGATGAGTGGAATTTTTTTTAAGTCCTGGCTGGAGAATTGTGCATTTCTCACCGGCTGTTTTTCGTGAATATCTCTTCGAAGCCCATATGAAGCTACTGAAGTTGTCAATTAACTGGGATTTCACCAAGTGCCCCAAGCGTTAGTAACCAGATAAAAGTAAAAGTAGCGGGATGGGATCACAAATTGACACTAAGAAATAATACAAAGTTATACATATTTAAATAATATTATCAATATTTTTAAAATACAGACTATGAAAATTCAGAGGGGAGAACCTGCAAAAAAAAGTCAAATTTATGTGATTTGAACAAGGTGTAACATTTTCGTTCCATAATGAGTGTTGACACGACACTTGGCAAGCAGTTTGTAGTAATATTCTCTAATTCATTCGGACATTGTAAATATCAGTGAAAGCTGAAAATACTGAGCGCTGTATGAATATGATTATGATAATTTGGGTACTTCTGAAGGCCTGGGACCTTCAGTGCGAGAGACGGCACAAAAAGGAGAGGAGGGGGAGATGTATGTCTGTGACATATTGGAAAGTCGCCCATGTAGTGTCATGTGTCGCAGGCATTTTAGGACTGATCCCACACAGTGCTTTGCTGCCATATCAACACTAGGGAGAAACAATGACACAAATGCCCTCAAACAAGACGACGGACGGACATTTTTTATGTATGTAGATATTTCGTTTTTTATATATATTTAAATCCTGAGGAATATATTGTACTCCATGTAAAAAAATTGACTTCTTACATTTTATTATATAAATAATTTATATATATTTATACTTTTTTTTAACTACTTTAAGAGCATCTTGTAGCAAATAGCCCAAAAAAATGCAAATCTATGTATCTAATAATTTATTTCTACTAATAGCCAGTACACTGAAGGGCCGTCTGAAGTTATATTCCACTGATTTACAATATTCCTTTCGCAACTGGCAGAGCGTTTGTTTGTTATGCATAAATCCAGCCGGTGTTCATGCGCGAGTGTGTTGTGTGGCCGGGCTGTCAGTAGTCTGATCTGGAATAATAGGAAGTAATGAACTGTTTGAGTCTTTGCCTTCTCCCTCCCCAAAGGCTTTTTTTCAGCACCAGCTGTTCATTAGGCAAAATATGCAAACAAGGTCCTCCACCCACCCTGCCCCCAGCCCTCCGTCAGACCTCGCTAATCAAACACAGAGAGAGACGCTACGCAGAGCACTCGCAATCCAGACAAATCAAAGACAGTGAGCACAGTGAGCTCTCAGAGATCTCCAGATGTGGCACATCACACACCTGCTCAGATCGTATTGCTCAGAGGTTGCTCTTCCATGGCTCAGGAGGCTAGAAACCGCTTTCACACCAACCAAACGAATCAAATTATGACCTCAAATAGACTTTGAGTCTGTTTTCAGTTGTGCTCTTACATTGGAAAAAGTATAGAGCTATACAATGAATACAGATAGCATATAGTTTGGTCTTGGGAGACTTTGATTAAAAATGTTTGAGTTCAGATTTTTTAATTGCAAACTTTGGTATCTCCAATGTGAGACATTGTTGAGATCTGTTCCCATTAATGTTTCACTTTAAACAATTGTCTAATTTTTTTTTTTTTTCTTTCTTATAGTTGACTTGATGGAAATCATGTCAGGAGCTGGATTCGAACTGGCATTGTTCGCTGTAAACTTTACCAGAGCATGTGTCACGGCACTAGGTCACGGCTATGAAAAGTAACAGATATCAGTTCTCCAACTTTGCTCTTATCCTTAGATGATCTCTCCATATCTCGGTCATATTTATCATATCATTTATCACCTACAATTCACTTCTGTTTCAAAACTGTTTGGAGTTCACGAGTCCCTGTGTTTGAGCTGTCACTACAGTTGGAGATCACTTTGTTGAGCAGGAGAGGGAGGAGGGAAAATATAGAATAAAAAATTAAACTCATGCCTTACTGACAGGCAGACAGAAGCATATTTATTTATAAGCAGTTTAAACATCTTCTGGAAGTGTGTGTGTGGATGTGCTGGAGCCGGAGACAGAATTAAAGGTCCTCGTGTGCAGAAAACTTCAGCTGAGCCTGAGGCGTCCGTCCAGCGCTGTTCCTCAGAGACGACTGAGGTAAATCATACATATCTTCTTCTGCTTTTCCCTCCTCGTCCGTCTCTCTCTGTGTCTCTCATCCCTTCTTCACCACGATGACTCGTGCATGCTTAACCAACCATTTTATTTATTCGTTCACCACGCACTTGACAAGAAGTGTACAATTGATTATTCTGGCCACATTAGTTTATATCTAAGCATAATCTATTTTTAATGGAGTGGCTGGGGCAGTCGATACGCTTTAAAGGATGTTGATCCACACTGGCAAAAAGGCTTGATGAGATCTAGGGGGAGGAATGGAGACTGGAGCGTACACTCACCTGTTGCCCTGTCACCAAGAGGATGGAGCCCTCTTTGGCGTGCATCACCTGACGGAAAACGTGGTCCAGGATGAGGAGTTCACTCCAACAGTTCTGGAGAAGCTTCATTTGGTCGTCAACCTGAGGAGAGACCAACAAATGTGTAAGAATGCGTAGATAATGCGTGTAATTTGGGTAAATTACAACTTTTTCAAGTAGGTGAACATTCAACACACTTCAGTTTTGAATTTAACCTTAAATTAACTTTTTCACAGATGAGGCTTAAGCATAATCTCAGACTAAAATGCATGTTTGAGCTGTGTTAACTGAATGCAACTTTAAAGTGCCATTGTTTTGTCTCAAGATGAACACCTGTTTTTTTTTTCCAATGCACATTTATAAAATGTCCTAATTGAACTAAGGCCTAATCCTGGCTTAATCTAAACCCTGTCTGTAAAACCGGGCCTTGAAATGCTAAATACTTGGCGGATTTAAACCTTTTTGTGTTTGTCCTGTAGCAATTGTCCTAATCTGAATAAATATTTTAGCAAATTAAAAGTTAGTGAATAAAAATGGACCCTATAACTTGCTCCCAGTCACATAATAAACACTTAATCAAAGCCTATTTTTTGAGAGGGAAAAAGTCCTGAAACAACTTCCCTATTCGGCTGATGTCATCAAGCCCTCTTATTGTTTAACTCCGCCCCAACACCCATGTCATAAAGAAACTTTTCATAATCTCAAATGTTCAAATTTCTCATTTAATATCGGAAATATGCCACAATATAGAATTAAAATGGGTTGCAAATGCCGTTTCACGTTGTTTTTAAGTCACAAAAGTTGTTGTTCAGTCAGACGACGTGTCCATTTGTCATTTGAGTGTTATTTCAAACTTTGACACTGGTGTCTCGCCGTTTGTAATTCGGACAACCAGTGTGAAATCAATATTGGTCTTTAGGTCGCAATAGGTCATTCTCGTGTGAACTTCGCCGAATGTCACAGTTTTCTGTTAATTAATCTGTTTGTCGAGCGATACGGCTTCATTTATCCCTCATGATTAAGTAGCATGTTCAGTGTAGCACAGTTAGGAGCACGTACGCTGAGATGCTCTCGGATGGGAAGTGAACAGCTCCAACAACGCATTCATTGTCACCCTGCTTGGTTCTCATGGCTCCCTCGGTCAATTATTAAACATAGAGGTGAAAAGAGCTCTTTGAGTCCGATGTTGGCAAGAATGAGGAAAAGTACTGAAAATGAGTCCATGTCTGACTATTCTTCAACCTGCTGTTTCTGTGCAGGCATTCGAAGAACTACATATGAAACGGTTTTGATTCCCAAATCACCCATGTAAAATGTTTATACAAAGGTCATTAAATTACAGAAATGTATTGAAACGTAACGATTATGAAGTCCTGTGAGGACAGCGAGTCAGCTAAGGACGTGAAAATAATACTTGCGGTTTCTCAAGGCAGCGATAACGTGAATGAAATGCCTCTACTGCTTTGGGAGACTCCATCGATATCTGTTTCGGATTGTTTTGACTGCTCGTGATTCTAGTTTGTTCTGCTCTCATAGTCACAACAATGCTGCAAAATCAATTTAAAGAATGTATTTCCAAATCCGGCAAAGCAAAAGCCTCAGAAAACCAATCAAATCTCTTCTTGTTTGGCATCACTGCCCTTATATCAACTGATTTACAGTGCGGTCAATACTATATGACCTAATTTCTAATATAAATTCTCCAGGTTCAAATACTAGGACGGATTTTTAAGCCCAAGAAGCCAATATATGCATTTGGCATTGTTAACACATCTCATGTATCTGCCAGCAAGTCAAACATGCCCGTTCTACAAAGAAACCTGTCATTTGGTCTTTTTTTTTTGACAGGCGTTCTCATCAAAGGCCTTGTCGCCACATGAGCCTCTTTTGCCTGGCGCATTTGGGTCATCAAACAGACGAGTCAAAGCAGGGGAAGACACAGCAGACTGGGGCCGCTGCCAGACACACGTCAGATGGGCAGAGAAGGCATCTCTGACCTTTTAAAGTGCGTCTGACACCGCTGTTTCCATGTCAGCTCGCTTCCCTTTGCACTGTCACAGCTATGTGTAACTCGGCTCTGATGAGCACTTACAACAGGCAAGCTATGTCCTTTAACACTGGAGCTAGTGACTTTGTAGGTTTAATATACAATGGCTATCAAATGTTAAAGTTTTTCTGTGTAAATCGTTTGTAAAAATATTTCTGCTATCTTTAATTATAATTTTTTTTAAATCTAATGCTGAATTGAACGAAACAAATCTATAGAGGTCGACTGGTAAATTGGTTTTGCCGATTAATCGGCACCGATAACCGATTGTTCCAGTTATTGGTATGTAGTAAATGAACAAATCTTTTTTTGAGTCAATGACTCGAAAAAAGATTCGTTCATTTTGATGAACGAGTCAATGACTCGAAAAAAGATTCGTTCATTTTGATGAACGAATTCGAACAGGAGAGTTCGCAAGGCGAGCATTTGTGCCTATAACACTTTAACTTTTATTTTTATTTTTGAAATGACAGATCGTTTCTCTAGATAAGACCCTTATTCATCGTCTGGTATCGTATAAAGCCCTTTGAAGCTGAACTGAAACGGTCATTTAGACCTTGAACCGTTTGGCTACCATTGAAGTCCATTATATGGAGAAAAATCCTGGAATGTTTTCATCAAAAACATTAATTTCTTTTCGACTGAAGAAAGAAAGACATGGACATCTTGGATGACATGGGGGTGAGTAAATTATCAGCAAAAGTTTTTTAAAAAGTGAACTAATCCTTTAAGTTTAATGAATGAGGCCCATTGTGTTTTAAAATCATAATATACCGGGCAGTATACCACCAAAAACACCAGCAACATTGGCGAAATATGCTGTACTTCAATGTTTTACACTGTCATAAAGCTTTTGTGATTAGTGTTTTTTTCCCACCATGGATCCCGCGAATAAACTCAATACTCACGGCAAACTCACAGATTGTAAATTCAGCTGTATAATCACGACATGTAAAAATCAGATTGCAATCGGGTGTTAATGTTTATCTAGATGAGCAGGTCGTGTAAGGTGCTGGAAAAATACCTGGAGGTCAGCCAAAGAAAAACACACTTATTGATTTCAGTCTAGAGGCATTACATTAGGAATCTCAGACAGCTTTTGTTCAACTGACTGAATAAGCAGCGATTAAAGATCAAATCTGTTGACCTGCACTGAAATCTCACAATTCACAAATTCTTCTTGCATACTCCAGATACAAAAGGTGTGCTCATCTAAAACACCTAAAACTCCGATTTTTATTGCGTTTTTTCATGAGCTGCACTTCCTATTTTTCAAAATCAGAGCTTTTACTTTCTCTCTTATGATAAAAAATGCATATCCTCCAAGAAACCAATTTAATTCCTTTCGGTCATTCAGGCATTGCTAGATCAATGTAGCGATCAATTGCTGAGCCCCCCCGCAGTGCTCCCAAAGAAGATCCTTAGACCCTCAACGGCATTGCGGAAATTTCCAAATGAATTTAAAGTGATTATGTGCAAAGAATTCCAGACTCTTTTTTTCCTTTTTAATGTAAATGATGTGCAAATATGTCTCGTTGCATATCCAAAAGTAATATTTATTCATCACTGCCTGAAAGGGTTGACCGGTGATAATAGAATAGAGTCCAAATTGCCAAATATGAGCTTTTTTTCTTTATCCCACATGGTTTTGGTAAAGTGCCACAAGCATTGTTAAGGCAAGAGTAACGAGCTTACGCAGCTGGAACTGCTTTTAATAAGTATTTTTTTTGTTGTTTTTGAAGTGCCCTAATGAACAGATTAATAGAATCTCCTTGAGTGCCCATTAATGAACAGAATGAGACGAATGATTTATTTACAACTAAAGGCAGGCTGCAAGTACGCGGCCCACAATCACATTTGCATAAATACGAGGATAGGAGAAAAAAAAGATGAGGAGGAGGTAAAAGGAAAATAAATCCCATCTGAAATCTTTTGACCTCCTGGATGTGGATCAGTGTGGCTAGTCGGGAAACTACAGGTGAGGTTTGAAGTGCGCTTCAATGGTGCCATCAGGCAGTGAGCTTTGAGTCGTCTTCTGTGGACATCTGTTCATACGCTGGTATGCACACTTCATCTCTGTCAGGCTGGCAAATATTAGTTGATGTTGGATGTTTCCCTTCTGTTGGAGTATTTTATACAGTTAATGCAGTTTATATAAGAAACAAAATAGATCATTATTTTCTGAAGTGTTTTAGGGTGCTGCTAAAGGTCCAAGCCAAAAGAGAGAGTAAACTGTTTACGATTTTGATGATTTTTTTCTTCCATTTAATCTGGCAGGTGAAATTTGTGAGTCCGATTGCTAAAGTTGAGGTCACATTTTCCGTTGCTCGGTGAAATTCCACGGGCGAAATCCAGTCATTCTAATAGGAAGTTTCGCGTGAGTTTCGCCCATTTTCAAGTTGGTCCGAGAGTCTCCCGCATATTGCTAGCAGGTCCCTGATGCCCACAAATGATCCTACAATATCCCGGAAATCGAGCGGGCGAGAGGAAAGCCTGTTTCCACCTGGTATTAAGATGCGTTTTCGGTAAACCGATCACAAGTGATCAGCCAAGACGCATTACCGTTACACCTGGTAGTATTGCGTTTCAAATGCGTCTTCGGGGAACACTTGCGTTCAGATTTTGTGGAGACCCTCGCCTCTTTTTTCGTCACACTCAACTACATCACGTTCATGTTCGGTGCATGAATACTATGAACGAACTAGTGTTTGGTGGCTTATTTGAATGAATATAATACACTGTAAAAAAAACTTAATGCGTAATTGAAAATATTAAGTTATGTGAACTTCCACATAACTTAATTTTTTCAATTACGCATGAAGTTTATTAACTTAATAATTTTAAGGCAATGGGTTTCCTCACTTTTTTTTAAGTTAAGTCAACTGATCACGGTCATTATGGTGGGGGGAGTGTTGTTCCATCTCCCAGAAATGAGTTTTTGCAGGGTGGGATGTTCAATTTGGTCACATGAATTCGCCACATTGACCAACAGAAAGCTGCTTGGTTTGAAAGTGACTTCTGTGTGAGCTGTGCTTCATACATCTCTTCACTATGG